GTATCGTTGGGTTTGCCTCTTTCTATCCACTGCAACGGGTTCCATATTCCCTGTTCCTACTGCTGTGGACCGTCCTTCAGAGCTCCACCGTGCCGCAGGCTACTCATGCATTGGTAGACGACAAGGCAACACCATTTACAGTGATCATGGTAAACGTGAGTGACGCGCCCCTGCATACGCAGATGTTCCATTCGATTTGAAGATATCTGGAATCAAACATCCATCATCTTGTTCGCCATTGATGTGCATTGCTCTCGACTGGACAGACATCACACCCCTGCCGACCGCCCTGCCGACAGTTTCCCTGTCGACATTTTCCCAGTCGACATCTTCCCAGCCGACATCTTGCCACCCAGGCATCTTCCCAGCCGACATCTTCCCAAGCCGGCAAGTCTCAGACGGCAGCTGAGCCCCGCAGCGTTCGCCTCAATACACCAGAGTCCGCATCTCTTTAATGCTGAGCTCGAGACGGCATTAGGCAAAGTGGTGGGCTGTTGAGGACCACTGCCTGCCGCCGTTGTCTCATATCATCAGCGCGGTCGACAAAGTGCTCTGCATCTCAGGCCCGGGCCGGGGCCAGCGCGACATAATGACAAGGCCCGCCTCGGGGTAAATGCTTTATGTTGATTGAACGCGCCTCTGTCATGCGATGCATAACCAGGCCAAGAGATATGCGTTGAGCTGATGCATGGCATGCCCCATGGCGACGAACGTGCTCCGCCGCCGGCCCCGCGGCGCCACGCCGGGGAAACGGCGCAGAGGCGTGCTCAGGGCGCCACGCCGGGGAAACGGCGCAGAGGCGTGCTCAGGGCGCCACGCCGGGAAACGGCGCAGAGGCGTGCTCAGGGCGCCACGCCGGGGAAACGGCGCAGAGGCGGGCTCAGGCGCTCCCGTCCGGGTGCCGTGACACTGCCGTCCGGGTGCCGTGACACTGCCGTCCGGGTGCCGTGACACTGCCGTCCGGGTGCCGTGACACTGCCGTCCGGGTGCCGTGACACTGCCGTCCGGGTGCCGTGACACTGCCGTCCGGGTGCCGTGACACATGATTATATGTGTGGGTGTTAAACACCACGGTGGACTCAGCATTGGCGAATGATTCGGAGGATTCGTGATTATTCTGGTGTCATCAGATTGATCGAGAACATCCAAAAGAATAATCAGTGCTGAGTCCGTTGTGATTTGTCACAACACAGTTATGAAGAACAAGCTGTGCACTTAAGTTGTATATGTATATATATATATATATATATATATATATATATATATATATATATACCATAAGGACAGCGCAGGTCAGCAGGTTTAAAGCATGACAATCGCCATTCACTGTGAGGTGTTCACGGCAAGGTTTTGTCTGATTGTTTTGTTTTCTTTCGTATAACAAAGGGGCTTAATGAGGTGGCACATCGCTCGTGTTCACAAATAAATTGGCCCGCAACTTGTCTGGCAGAAAACCTGGTGAGCGCGTTTTTATTTGTTTTGTTGAAACTGATGACATTTGGTCGATTTACCTTATCTTTTCTCACGGCCAAAACATTATCGGACACCACACCCATGTGTCGTGAATGCTAGTTACAGTAACCTTGACAGCGTTATTTCCGTTGTCTGCGTTATTATCATGTTGTGTCGCTGAGCTCAGGCCACAGCATGTTGCACTAGACGCAGGCTCCGCAGGAGACAGTGGCGGCCCCACAGTGGATTTCCGGCGCAGCCGCGGATCGCAGCGTGCTGAGGGCGCTCACCGCTTGAAAACAGCACACTCGCAGACACGATGCGGCGCGTTTTTACCTCTTTATGTGTACGGGCGACCAGACTGACGAGACGCACCATCCGTCCTTCATATCGCCGGACCTGCGGCTCGCCGGTCCCCGTTCGAGCGCGTGGGGTCACCTGAGCGCTGCAGTCCACCCTTCTGTCACCGGCACCGCCTGCTCCGCCGACCTGAACACTGCAGCCCACCCTTCTGTCACCGGCACCGCCTGCTCCGCCGACCTGAACACTGCAGCCCACACTTCTGTCACCGGCACCGCCTGCTCCCACTACCTGAACACTGCAGTCCACCCTTCTGTCACCGGCACTGCCTGCTCCGCCGACCTGAACACTGCAGCCCACCCTTCTGTCACCGGCACCGCCTGCTCCCCCGACCTGAGCGCTGCAGCCCACCCTTCTGTCACCGGCACCGCCTGCTCCGCCGACCTGAACACTGCAGCCCACACTTCTGTCACCGGCACCGCCTGCTCCGCCGACCTGAGCGCTGCAGCCCACACTTCTCTCACCGGCACCGCCTGCTCCCCGACCTGAGCGCTGCGGCCCACACTTCTGTCACCGGCACCGCCTGCTCCCACTACCTGAACACTGCAGCCCACACTTCTGTCACCGACACCGCCTGCTCCCCCTGCGTCAAGTGCCACTTGTATCGTGCCGACGCGCCGCAGGACCGCTAACATGTGGGTAAGGCGTCTGAACGTGCTCTGCAAGCCCTTTGGCAATTCACATTTGTTTGGCACCCCAATCGAACGCGGGAGGCCACATTTCGCGGACATTGCAATACCTTATGAAAACCATTCCGCACTCAAGACCTTCTATTCAAATGACTTGAAGGAAGCCCAGAAGAACGGTTGTGTGGAGTCTCGCTTTTTGTGACGACCAAGAGCTGCGCGGCGGCTGACTGAAAGACGTTCCTTGCCGGACCAGGCTGAGTCAGGCAGCTGCAGCATTTCCAGCCCTATTTTTCCTTAGTACTGACTCGGCCCGGCGTTCCGTCCGTGGCATGTTGATTGCTTTTGTGGGCAGGCTAGTCCTGCCACCCTGCGCATTACCATCTCCAGCCACCTGCAGGTATTTTAGCCGGCGTCTTAACTAGAAACCCACTTTCCAGATAACGAGCAATTGAACTCCAAAAACCCAAATCAATAGCGGAAGTTCTTCGCTGCACAAAGTGAGCGGAGAAATACCATAGGTTTAGCGCTGCGTTTAGCTGCATAATACAAATCCCAGCTCATGCTTCCCTCTATACGTATGTACCTGGCGCCGCCCCTGTCAGCTGATGCACTCGCCCCTGCAACATTTAAGCTCTGCTGGGATGTTACAATCACTTTGTTATCAATAAATTACCTGTTCTAAATCACTCCAGTTGCAATGTGATCCATCGCCGCCCAAATGCCCTTTGCCCGTACCGGCTCTTGTTACCTCCTTTGTCCGCCTCTGTGCTAGCTGCCCATTTGACGTCGCAAACATGGTCGCCAGTAGGCTAGCAGCTGTGATATGAGCAGGCGGACATTGATTTCAGCACCGAAACATACGGCCATTCATCACAGCATTGCCTTGCCTGTATCTCTTCCACATCCGCCGGCGGCTCTTCACGGCCATCAATAGACATGATGAACGGTAATTTAATGTGGGGTAGATGAAATAGCCTATGCTCATGCTAGTCAAAGAGGCCCGAATAAAGAGACAATATATTTTGTTTTACAGCGTCTTCGGGTCTGAAGAAGCCGCAAAGTGAACGGAGCTGTCTGTTCAGCTGGGAAGTGGTGTGAGAGGGCCTGTAGAAAGTCGCGCTGGTTCCTGAGAAGGCCTGTAGAAAGTTGTGAGGATTCCTGAGAATGTTTGCGAGCGGAGTGCCTTGACTTTTTTCGGCTCGACTTTTATACATGAGTATAGGCTACATAGCATATCTCGTTATCATTTTAATTATGCTAAAAAGCTATGCGGGAGCCCTAACGGTCATCTATGATATATTTGATTACGCAAAAGCCTTTTCAGCCACGCACCGCCATTCGGCACTGTGGAAGCTATCAGCCAGTGCGTACCTCCTGCCATTGCGACCCAGGAATTATGCATCAAAGGGGATTAATGGTACCTGAATATGGTCAAGTGACTCCCATTTGGTAGTAAGGACTAACATCAAATTTCGGAGCTCTAGCTCCAACAGTTTGAAACGAGGTGAAAAACAAGTTCGTGTGGGTCCCCGCAAGCAAGTAGGCGTCCTGTCCCTGGCGTACCAGCCATGGCGGGCCCGGACCTGCAGCTGGTCATGCCATGGCGTAAATCCGCGGAACTCTCTAAGCCAAGACCACAATGTCTCAGGCTGCGGGAGTCTTTGTGAGAGCTTTTTATTAAGTTGTGCCGAAGCGGGTTTTTTATTCTTGGTTTTTGAAAACAAGATAGTTCCGAAAAGCATTAAAGAAACAATGTGAAAAAAGTCTGAAATGCGTTAAGAAGTGGGTTTCCATATGCAGGTCATATGGTTTCTCCGAGCACCACTTACACAGTCGCGACAATGATACGTAGCCAATGGCCGTACCCGGAGCCTGAGCCAATGGATACGTAGTGCCGAGAACTGCTTTCGTGCTTGATTAAGAATACGTAGCGTACACGAATACGTAAGAATACGAATACGTAGCTTCAAAAATATGAGTTTGTAGCTTGACATGTAGCTATGTAGTTTGAATTTGCTCAGTTTGAGATACAAATTAATCACGGTTAAGCGCAAGTCTCACGGCGTCAGAATGCTTCAACGTTACCGTGTCAGACAATGTTCTTTGTGAAATGGTTCAAACGCAGAGGTTCATGATTCAAAGCATGCTGGCAGCTTCAAAGTCTCGCAGACCGCTGTCTGACTCCTCTGCAAGGCTCTGTTCTCTATCCCACGGGCTGCAACAGCGTTGAGGCTTTAGATTGGGCATTTCCAGTGTGACGTTTATGACTGGCGATTGACGAGAGTGGGCGTCAGAGGCGCGATAGAGTTGCAGGCTGTCGCGCTGCTGTTCTCTTCACGCTCCAAGTGATGATTCCCCGGACGCGGTGTGCACCCCCGAGTTGTGGGGCTCTCGAAGTCGGGGCACCTTGCTGTCACGACAGCCCCCGGACGGCAGGTGCCACGGCGAGCGCAGGTGGGCGGGGCCAGACTCACCGGACAGCCAATCAGCGTTGAGCTGGCGCGTGCGCCGGTCGCGTGGGAGCTCGGCCCCGCTCGCCAGTCGAGGGTAAGAGCCAGGAGGGGGTGCGGCGCCTCTGTTGTCCGGCGAATCACCTGCTCCGCGTGCTCACACGCCCCGCTCACCCGGCTTGGCTTCGCCGCGACATGTCCAACGTTCTTCAGGACACGCTGCACGCGGGCTTTGTTCTCGGTGACGGACTGTGTTATGAACAGCTACTGCATGAGACGAGCATGAGCAGAGCTTTCCTGAGCCATTACAAGGCGTCGGCGGCCGGCAGACAAGACAGCGCCAACCGCCTCAGGAACTGCGAGAAGCCGATCCCGGGGGAGCTGTGCCCGCACCTGCCCTCGGTCAGGGCCGCCTCTCTTCCAGACATCGCAGGTTAGGAGGGCGGACGTCGTGTTAGCTATGCGTACGACCTGCAAGCCAGACGAAAGAGAAGAACAATACAGCTTACGTGAGAACGGAAAGGCACAAACTTTATGTTGTCATCACTGCTGTGCTGTGAGTGTTGCATTGTAGGCACCGATGAGCGTATGTCTTACTCAACTAATCTGTGAACTGCTTTGACAGTTCACAAATGTTGTGCTTAATACTTAGAAGTTCAAGTTACTAAGAACACGGTTTAATCAAATTTGTAATAGACAGATTAGCAGATGCTTAGAAGCTGTGCTTGAAAATATGGATGTTGTATGGAATGATTATATTCACAAGGATCTCTCAGTCTCACTTCCACTTAGTTTTGGTGCAAATCTGGATATTGGCTCGAATGGCATTTATGACCTTGCAATGAATAGTATTTTAATATGAAGAGCATAAGTGCGGTGGCGGAAGCCATGCGTAGTATTGGTGTTAGAGACGCGTGGATGCGAATTATGCCTGATGGCGCAGCATGTCATGATATGCCGCCAAACGCTGACATCAAGCGACATGAAGACATCTCATCCAAACATCTCGAAGCCTGAATGTGACAGCTTCGAGCACGTTTAGGCGGCTGGTGTGAGCTGGTATGTTTTGTTCCTATTGAAAGGTGGTTTTCTCTATCCAATAAACATTCACGCATTGTGCCAGAATGCTCAAACATACACTCCCAGCCTTCAGCTAGGACCGCGAACATATCGTAAACCCGCATGCATGGAAGGCAATATGTCTCAGCCTTCAGGAGCAATGAGACTGTGTTCAAATGAATCACGACGTCTCTAAAGCGCTCTACACTCTTAGTTACAAAGACACTGATCATCAAAGCAGTGCTGTTGGTATGGTTCGACACCTTTTGAAATGTTTCCCAGAATGATTGTTATCAAACGTCGTGAACGATTTTGAGCCTCAGCTGCAAAGCTCCAACCACTGTTTTAAAGTGCAGAGCGAGATGGTAGCGGACGCTGTGTTCTTTTTTGGTATTCGCCAAAGGTTTTCAGGTCTTGGCTGCCGGAAAAAACACTTTAATTATCTGGAGTGCCTAAACTTTCAAGATATCAGACAACCTCCTTGCAATAGTTTTCCAACGCAAAGGAGCAAAAGTACGCGCCGAGTGCGCCACGACGCTCCCAAGTTTGATGCGAATCCGTCATACGGTGACGTGTTTGCAGAATAAACCTGAGGGCAGTTCTGGCGCACCCTCACTTGATGCGCCAGAACCGCGGGGTCAACACCTCATTTGGCGGTGTTTCCGCTCACCTACCAAATAGCTACGCTATCTCTCATCAGGGTTCTCCTAAAGACGGAGCTGTCTCTTAGCAGGGTTCTCCGAAAGACGGGGCTGTCTCTCAGCAGGGTTCTCCGAAAAATTGGGCTATCTCTCAGCAAGGTTCTCTAAATACGGGGCCACATTGTTGATGGGGCATATGGAAGCCGAATGATCCCCAGCTATAGCAGCGTTGCGGCGAAAGCGAACATCTGAACATTTTCCTTAAAAAATATGATGACTTCACGGCGGCATCTCCGGATATATTTAATCGTTGATTTATTGCGGGATAGCTTCTTGTTCTTGATGACAAGCAAATTATCATCAGCATACACGGCTCAACGTTGGAGCAACAGACCGTCCAATGCCTGTCTCCACTCCTTGCCGACCTGAATGCTCAGTGCAATGGGGGGGGGGGGGGAGGTGGTACACGCATTGAGGGTGCGCGGCTAGAATAAGGTGGTTTGAACGCTCTGGGCACCTACCAGCAGCTTACCTGTCCCAACTTTGACGTGCGTGCACTCAGCATTGCTCTGCCGGTGTACATTCGCCCATTTTGGGTCCGCCGGTACATATTTACCCATCCTGGGTCCGTCAATGTACATTCATGCATGTTCGGTCGTCTTGGCATTCCAGGCAGCCAGCAGCACCACCTCAGCCACCTCAGCCCAGCCAGCAGCCATCAGACGGTCAGCCACTCGGCGGAGACCCGTCTACACCCCTCTCCGTCCGCCAGCCCCTGCGAGCGTCGCTCTCCGCCCGGACCGGCCAGCGGCTCACCCCAGACGCCAGACGCCGCAGTGGACTCGTTCGTGAGTCCACAGCTCCGGGTGGACTCGTCCGTGAGTCCGCAGCTCCGGGTGGACTCGTCCAGGAGCCGCGCGTCGCGCTCAGCGGAGCGGTGGCGTCGTCGCCGAGAGAGCGCCAACTGCCGCGAGCGGCGGCGCATGCAGCGGCTCAACGAGGCGTTCGACCTGCTGCGGGACCACCTGCCGCAGGGCGTCGACTGTCCGCTCTCCAAGCACGAGACGCTCCAGATGGCCATCACCTACATCCTGACCCTGCGCGAGCAGCTGGAGCCGATGCCGGAGGCGTGCCAGTCCGAGTGAAGCTGCCTTTCTCGGCCGCGACCGTCTAGTCAGGCTACGGCTACAGCAATGCTTCAGCGGCGCTCCCGGCGGCCTGGTTCGCCATGTGCCGGCGGCTTCTGCGACGACTGCCGTGCCAAGCCAGTTTGGCGCTGCTCCTCGTGGCCTCCGGAGGCTCCACTGCGCTCGCCCACTCTGCTTTTAGTGTGCTGGGCTGTACCTCTGCCGTCAGCGGTGGGAGCTTTCCTCCGGCCGCTGGCGGCATCGTTGTGAATAACTCAGCCTCGAGCGGTGTTGTGTTGCCCTGCCTGGAGCTGAGTATGATCACGTTCGCACGGGTCTCGGAGAGGCTAAGCAGCCGACGGCGCGGGCGTCTATGTGATGGGTTTTCACTGCCCTGTGGGTGGACGGCTGTGAACCAGGGAGAAGATAAGTTGGCTGTTGTGACCGCGCGACCGGGTGACCGGATGTTGACTGTTGATGTGGGCTGTGAATACAAAGTGCAAATCAAACGACGTTGTCTCTACAAATTTCAATGCGTTTCTGGGCACAGTGGCACAAGATACCTCACAGGCCAATGCATGCGTTTCTGATAGAAACTGCATTTCGGCTACTCCGAACATCACCGCGTGGTGCACGTCAATGCCGGGTGCATCTTGAACACGCGCTTGGGTTTCCCCCTGACTCGTGATCACTTTCACCACTTTCCCCGCCACCACACTCTCCCTCCTCACATTAAATTAGCCATATGACTGAACAATATATGTATATATATATATATATATATATATATATATATATATATATATATAGTGTCTTGGATATCTCAATTAACCAGGTGCCTCCGAGAGACATGATTGAGAATTGTCAGCTCCTCTCAAGATCGGGTCCAATCACGTTTGCTTTGCAACAGCTGTTCGTTTGCCGCTTGCGCCTCTTTGTTTGCATACATGTATTGTCTGCACCAGCCAACTTTTCATGTCTGGGATCTGGTCGGCCACCGTAGCTGAAGCAACAAACGGCGCGCATGCGCGATCAGTGCGTCTGCAG